AAATAACCGACGATGCGATCCCTGGCGCTCACCCTCGTCGCCCTCGTGGCCTGCGTGAGTTGCTTTTCCTCGAGGATGGGAGGCTGAGGGGTCTTAGCATGAGTGAACTGCTTGTGATTGGTGGACGTAGATTCGGGGGCGATTTTGGAGGGAAAGCGTAGTAGAAGATATTTATAATAGCCATATTAATTATTATTATTATATATATATATATATATATATATATATATATATATATGTATAAGTATATATATATATGTATATGTAAATGTAAATTTATATGTATATGTATATGTATATATTCATGTATGTGTGTGTGTGTGTGTGTGTGTGTGTGTGTGTGTGTGTGTGTGTGTGTGTGTGTGTGTGTGTGTGTGTGTGTGTGTGTGTGTGTGATATAAGCTTAGCTTTCGATAACATGTATGTGTATTATATACAAAACACATTTTTAAGATAATAGTTTTATGCATAAGGTCACATCCTTTGCTGCTAGGAAACACAATTAATCTTTTTCATAATGATACCTACTTATGATACTGGTATTATATTTAATTTTCCTCACTGCGATCATTGCATTTAAGAGTATGTATCAAGAGTTGTATCACGATTTCTATTACAATGGGCATTACTATCTCTGCATTTGCATTACTATTTCACTCAACGACCTCAGACTCAAAAATACTTATGATCAACCCATTATCTGTAGGTTCTCATTACTGAGATACACATTATTTTTATTTTTTCTTACACTAGACGCACGCCGCTCTTCTCGACCACGACCACGACCACCACCACCACGACTTCGAGCTCGCGACGGGAGAGGAGAGCAAGATCGCCAATGCAAGGATCAACGAACTCTTCGAAGGACTCGCCAGGTCGGACGTCAGCAGGACGGTGAGTAACGCTACAGCCGCGACATCTGTTATCCGGATTCTTCAGCGTAATTCTGGGATTTGTTTCTTGTCTTTATGTTTTTTTATTTTTTTTATTTATTCTCTCTCTCTCTCTCTCTCTCTCTCTCTCTCTCTCTCTCTCTCTCTCTCTCTCTCTCTCTCTCTCTCTCTCTCTCTCTCTCTCTCTCTCGCTCTCTCTCTTCTCTCTCTCTCTCTTTCTCTCTCTCTCTCTTTCTCTCTCTCTCTCTTTCTCTCTCTCTCTCTTTCTTTCTCTCTCTCTCTCTCTCTCTCTCTCTCTCTCTCTCTCTCTCTCTCTCTCTCTCTCTCTCTCTCTCTCTCTCACTCACTGTATATATACTCTTATATATATGCATACATACAACAGTGATAATAAAAAAAAAAAAATAGTGTAGAGTATAGTGATATGGAAACCTATTTTGCTTTCCATTGTTGTTTCAGCCCGCGGACATGCCTACGATGACTGAAATCCCAACTGATATCACATTCTCGTGCGCAGGGAAGCTACCCGGTTACTATGCTGATGTTCAGTATGACTGCCAGGTAAGTGGGGAGTTCTTTTTTAAATATTAGATATGTAAGATAAATGTATAAATAAGTATATTCATAGAAGTGTATGAATTTTTTTGTGCCAGTGTAATCAATGACAGCTGGTTTAGGCCGGAAATTATTAAGGAATGTGAGAACCCTTTACTAGATTAAGGAGATAGGTGCCACATCCTTGTAAAGTACGATAACGACGAATGATTTTCGGTTCTCCTGAAGTCAGTTTCTACAGATATGCGTATATTTCTTTTAACTCGGTTTGTGCATTTGTCCAGTGCTGCCATACCTAAAAGCTCATAAAAATAGCTTCAATAGTTTTTGCGTAAAAAAATTAAAAACGACAAAATCGACATATTGTAGAAAAAACCCTAAATAACTTTTTAAATTATTTAGAGTATAGGAATTCCTTTTTTTATCCACGGCTACCAAACCCTCTTTTTAAAGAGAAAATAGTACGCATTTAACCGAAAAGAAAATAATAAAGGGAAACGAGTTAATAAGGAAAACGAGTTATTTTCTTGACCGGCCGGATTGCCATTTAAAAATCGTCAATGAAATTGTTTACAGCATTTAAGGATTGCTAAGACCATGAAAACTCAAGGCGGAGGGTCACTTACTCTTTTACCTTATTTCAGGGTCAGGGGGATTAAAGGAACCAGTTTGAAAGCTCGGGAGAGAAAACAGGATTTACATATTTATGTTTGCTGCTTATCCATTCATTCTTTTTCCGATGTTATCATTATATTATTGTACAGTCATATCCTTACTATATAACACCGTATAATTGTTATCGTGATTATTACCATTACCACCGTTATCATTATCCTTACTATAGGGATCATTTACAAATATCATCGTGATCATCATCATTATCATAGTCATCGTTATCATTATGATCATCTGCCTTATTTTCCTCACCGTCTCTGCCGTAGCTCTACCACGTCTGCGAAGCCCATGATATGACTTCGTACCTGTGTCCCAACGGCACGATCTTCAACCAGGAGATCTTCGCTTGCGATTGGTGGTTCAGCGTGGACTGTTCCGCGGCGCCGAACTTCTACCACTTGAACGAAGAGATTTACAAGGCAAGATTTGGATTTTGTTACTCCTTCTGTTTAGTTTTTTTCCTTTTTTTTGGAGGGGTAGGGGGAGGGAGGGAGGATTTAAGTGGTCAGTGGTTAGTTCTGGTGGTTTGGACATTCGAGTTTTAATTGGTTGTATTTGGTTTGGCTCTGATTTCATTTATTTGTTTATATATTTTTAAGTATTGTCTAAATAATTGTTTTCAGTAGAAGAGGCACTATTTTAGTGAATTGGATAATATGTACGTAGGTTTTGACACTCCTCCAGCGGAAAATTACTGTAGATTTATAATTTGTCACTGATATATATATATATACATATACATCTATATATATATATATATATATATATATATATATATATATATATATATATACATATACATATACATATACATATATATATATATATATATATATATATATATATATATATATATATATATATATATATATACATATATATATATATATATATATATATATATATATATATATATATCACTTTTTACCTCTCTCTCTCTCTCTCTCTCTCTCTCTCTCTCTCTCTCTCTCTCTCTCTCTCTCTCTCTCTCTCTCTCTCTATCTATCTATCTATCTCTATCTATCTATCTATATCTCTATCTCTATCTCTATCTCTCTCCCTCTCTCTCTGTTTCTTACTTTCCCACTCCCTCACATGCACCTTCTTTTCTTACTCATCAATCTATCTTGCCATCCATATATCTCCCTCTTCACTCCACTCCTTCCTTCCTTCTCTCATCACTCCACCCGCTCTTCCTCCTTCCTTCCTTCTCTCTTCACTCCACCCGCTCTTCCTCCTTCCTTCCTTCTCTCTTCACTCCACCCGCTCTTCCTCCTTCCTTCCTTCTCTCTTCACTCCACCCGCTCTTCCTCCTTCCTTCCTTCTCTCTTCACTCCACCCGCTCTTCCTCCTTCCTTCCTTCTCTCTTCACTCCACCCGCTCTTCCTCCTTCCTTCCTTCTCTCTTCACTCCACCCGCTCTTTCTCCTCCCTTCCTTCCTTTCCTCTCTACTTCTTTAACCCCTCTCCTGACCGCCCGAGACACCCTTCCTCTCCCCCAGGACCCCGAGGTGGAGGAGACTGCCGAGGGCCAAGAGCAGCAGAGGGCCAAGAGTGCCACAGCAGGATGGCGAAGCGAGCAGACCTTCAGTTTCGGTAAGGCTCGTGTCGAGGACCCCTTCGCTGCCATCTTCCAGGTGCCTAGTTACGGAGGAATTTTGCCAGTTCAAGTCTGTGTATATGGATAGCTGATGATGATATTATTGTTTATTATTAGTGTTTTTTATGGTTTATTGTTATTAGTGTTGTTATTGTTGTTGTGGCTCTTGTTATTTTTTTCATTATTATTGTTATTATCATTTTATTGTTATCTTTATCATTATTATCAATAGCATCATCACTATGACTTTTATCATTGTTATTACTGCCATTTCATTACCAATAAGAACAGTAGCAGCAGCAGTAGTAGTTGTATCATTATCATCTTCATCACCATTATTAATAGTACTGGTTGAAATGTTTCCATATTTCATAACGTCAGACCTATGATCATTCCCCTTCAAAGTGACACGCCTTTTTTTTACGTAAATTCATCCAAATTCCCCCACCCAGCAGGCATCACCAACCCTCCTCCTTCCCCAGGGCCTTTCCGTGCCCGACAAGACGCCCGCGAGTAGCGCCAAGGTGGAGTCCGTGGCCGCCCCTAAGCGGGCGTCCTTCTTCATCCCGGTTCCCGCGCCAGCTCAGAACCGGGAGAGAACCGCGAGTCAGATCAGCGACTACCTGCCACCTACACAGGACTACCTTCCCCCCTCCGATGACTACTTGCCGCCTACCCAGGATTACCTTCCCCCCTCCGATGACTACTTGCCGCCTACCCAGGATTACCTTCCGCCATCCGGAGACTACCTTCCTCCCTCATTCCGCTTCAAGCAAAATGTTTAAAATGTTTTAAAAATTATATCGATATGGCCACTCCTTTGACTTTCGTAAATCGTGAATTTGTGTAGGATCGAACTTTTGTATAAATTTCCACGATAAACTTCAATGTATTTATAAACACAAGTAAATACGACGTGTACATATTCTAAACCAATTCATCAGAAAGTAAAATCCTGTCTGTATAAAATCACTTCTACGTAGTGTCGAATAAATTATTTACGTACGCCGAGGAGTGTCTAGAAAATGTAAACATGAAATACACCCATAACTCATCAGAAAAATGTGTGTTAATTTTCCCTTTGAAATACTTCCTAACCTCTGACGATTACTACATTAAAATGAAGAAAGAAAGGAAAATTTATGCCCATAAAGCAGAGAAAAAAGACAAAAATGAAACATAGCAAGGGACTAGCAAATCAGCTCGAAACATGTTTCATATACTGTATTATGTTAGAAAAATATACGTTCCCTCTTGATAAAAATAAACACTGAACTAGGTAGAGATAACCTTTACAAACAAACAAACAAACAAAGAGTTAAAAAAAAAATGTACTTTTGATAATGGCCACGGATAAGGCGTGGGAACTCGGAAGTGTAATGATTAATCATGCAGTTCTTTAAAATCATGATACCCTAACTTACCGCTTATCGTTGACGCATTCAAAAGTCCATGGAGTGACATATACACACTTTTTGCCATTTCCAAATACCAGACACCGCTGACATTTAACAATCGTAATATCATCTAATATGAGTAATTATCAGCCTTTTGTGCATCTGCCACTTTTTTCTTTTCTTTTCTTTTTTTTCTTTTTTTTTTCTTTTTTTTTTAATAAACAGAACTTCATAAATTCAACTGCCACCCTGAACTCTCAAAAATTCCCCGCGTAATCTTATAATTCATGTAATCCTACTTATGAACTCGCTACAGCATACGAATTTACCGAGGTAAGATTAAATTTACGGTCTGGCTCCTGCGTGTTTGACTCCGCGAGCTTCATCACCGGTCCAAGTGCCTATGTTTCTAACGATTACGAAGCGATCCAGAATATGGAGACGGGAAATAAAGACAACAGAACCCGGCTCCTCTCTACGATCCTGCGACTGACGCTCGTGACGAGACAATCTCTACGGAGTAATCTGTCTATTCACAGAAGTGTAAGAAATTTCCCCAGGATAATCCAGCACTTCCAAGTGACTCTAATTTGTGTCTTTTGATAAACAATCTTTGCTTCCATTTATGCAATCCATCAAAATCGTATTTAACTATTTATTACAATTTATGAAGAAAGGAAAAATATATTTTCTCTATTTCTGTTTATTAATACCAGTGCATTACAGTTTCTGTAATCCAAAGCATGTACAAAAATCATGAAATTCTGTATTTACACTGTTAATCTATACAGTGGCAATGAATTTACAGAGTAAGATCTCATACTGTCATTGGGTATACAATTCTCTTCTGTGTTTAAGAGTGAGGGAGAGAGGAAGGAAAAGAGAAGAAGAGAGAGGTTGGAAGAGAGAGAGAGAGAGAGAGAGAGAGAGAGAGAGAGAGAGAGAGAGAGAGAGAGAGAGAGAGAGAGAGAGAGAGAGAGAGAGAGAGAGAGAGAGAGAGAGAGAGAGAGAGAGAGACAGAGAGACAGAGAGACAGAGAGACAGAGAGACAGAGAGACAGAGAGACAGAGAGACAGAGAGACAGAGAGACAGAGAGACAGAGAGACAGAGAGACAGAGACAGAGACAGACAGACAGAGGAAGGGAGAGAGAGAGAGAGGAAGGAAGAGAGAGAGAGAGAGGAAGGAAGAGAGAGAGAGAGAGAGAGAGAGGGAGAGAGAGGGGGGGAGGGGGAGGGGGAGGGGGAGGGGGAGGGGGAGGGGGAGAGGGAGAGGGAGAGGGAGAGGGAGAGGGAGAGGGAGAGGGAGAGGGAGAGGGAGAGGGAGAGGGAGAGGGAGAGGGAGAGGGAGAGGGAGAGGTAGAGGGAGAGAGGGAGAGAGGGAGAGGGGGAGAGGGGGAGAAGGGGAGAGGGAGAGGGAGAGGGAGAGGGAGAGGGAGAGGGAGAGGGAGAGGGAGAGGGAGAGGGAGAGGGAGGAGAGAGAGAGAGAGAGAGAGAGAGAGAGAGAGAGAGAGAGAGAGAGAGAGAGAGAGAGAGAGAGAGAGAGAGAGAGAGAGAGAGAGAGAGAGGAAGAGAGGGATATATATATATATATATAGAGAGAGAGAGAGAGAGAGAGAGAGAGAGAGAGAGAGAGAGAGAGAGAGAGAGAGAGAGAGAGAGAGAGAGAGAGAGAGAGAGAGAGAGAGAGAGAGGAAGGGAGAGTGAGAGAGAGAGGAAGGGAGAGTGAGAGAGAGAAGAAGGGAGAAAAGAGAGGGAGGAGGGAGGGAGGGAGGGAGGGAGGGAGGGAGGGAGGGAGGAAGGAAGGAAGGAAGGAAGGAAGGAAGGAAGGAAGGAAGGAAGGAAGGAAGGAAGGAGAGGAGGAGAGAGAGAGAGAGAGAGAGAGAGAGAGAGAGAGAGAGAGAGAGAGAGAGAGAGAGAGAGAGAGAGAGAGAGAGAGAGAGAGAGAATTAAAAATGAAGAGCCAATGTGATTCTACACAGGTTATTTCAGCAAAGCAGTTTTCAAAATTGGTATAATATTAGGGAAAATATGTGAGGCTCATCCACAATTTCCAATCCGAGTTGAGTATACAATTCATATCTCAAAGGAGGGCAAGCACAGTGCTAAAATTTAAGTCTTGAAAGGAAAGTATGAGCAGGAATCTAGCAGAAATAACATGAACTAGTGTTAGAGTGTTAGCAAATGATATCTCATACTTTGTATCCAAATGCTTATGGTAATTTCTCTAATAAGGTTATTTTGAATGCTTTCACCTATACCATGCAAAAAAAACACGTAACACAAAAACAGACAGTTATCCTAGGAACAAATACCTGAAGCTAGTATGTCAATCAAATATACAGAAAATATGAAATCTGTTTTTTTATGTTGTTTTATGTCTAAAAGCAAGGGGTTTAAATTTTCTTTTGTAACATTAATCACATGACGCACAGGACATTATATATATTTCATTTGCATTTCCCATGGGAAAAAGGAAGAAGAAAGTATTAAAACAGTTGTAGACAATATGTCAAATATTAGTCTAAAAGATTTAAATAAATAATGGTCATCATAACCAAAACTGTAGTATACTAAAAACAAAATGTTTAGTTCTACAGACATTTCTTGTATACACAGTATACATGTCTATGAGAAGTATGTGAAATCTCTGAAATATCACAAAATAGTGCTTGATTGAAAGGGGAAGTAAATGTATCCAGTTATCCTCACAGCCTGATATTGCCTAAGAATCCTACACATCAGCTGTCATGCAAAAATGGCAACTCCAAAGACATAATCACCATCATGGATTAAAAAGATTCATATAGTGGCATATCGACATTACTTGAAAAAGGGTCAAAGTACTCAAAAAAATTCTACAAGAGGACTTGTGGGAGATGGCAGGAAGTACTCTGATGAATGTCAGTTGCGTGGCTCATCCCTCTTCATATAACAGATCCCAGTCTTAAAGATCAGACTACATTACAGCCTGTTTCTCTTCTTGGTTTTGTACAAGACATCGGAAAATGCATCATCATCTAGATCTCACTGTTATTTGCTTTCAGCCTCCCTTACAACAGGGAGAATATTGTTAAATTCATGTTGATACCTTAACATGAGTTACAAAAGGTTATATGCCAATGACGGAAAATTAATAATCTTAAATAGACAATCTGGTTATTAATCTTTCATATAAACAATGACAAACAGCTAAAGATCTATCAATCACAAAAATGAAAATAGACAGTCTAAGTATTTGCACTTTTTTTCCTCTTCAAGCTCTACAAAAAAATATCTATCCTCTATTAGCTGAGGAAGTCCACAACCTCATCAAGTTCCCTCTGCTTGGCTTGCTTGTGCGCCCACCTAGCTTCTGCTGTCTCTGGAGTTAGCTTCCACTTGTCGTGGTAAATCTTGTTGTTACAGGTATGGCACTTCTTTCCACCCTGGAAAGGCGGGGTGCGGATGTATGTGTCCAGGCACTTGTTGTGGTATATGTGGCCACAGTAGATCCTTTCAACATGCAATGGCCCTGACTCATTTGCCTCAATGTCCTGTGGGTAATAAACAGCTTGAGAATCTAAGTTCAGTTTTGACATATGACATTTCAACTTCTTTCAGATCTAAAGTTTGCAAAGGAATGTGTATATATGCCAGACCTATCTACTAACCCTTACCTTGGGGTTTGTGGGAAAGGCCTTTTTCCTGCACATCTTGCAATCTAATTTAAGATACAGGTGAACCTCAGACACAAGGAAAGACACCACAGGTTCCATTGATGGCTTCAACACAAAGGGTGGGTCCTTTGGCCTTTTCTTGGCTGGTGGTTCAACACACTGACGAGCTATTTCGGTTGCCTGTGCAAGGAACCATCGGCGGAAGACTGGTGGGAAGTTGCATTCCTTTTCTTCAATCCTGAAATGTAATAAATGTGGTAATAAGTTCTGTGCATATGTTTTATTCCCATTCTCATGAGAATATGATAAAATGAAACTCACTAACAATATTAAGAATTACATCAAAATCTTTCTCAGCTGTACAAAATCAACAAAATAATATCAAAGTATATGCATTGCATACAAAAATATATTTATTCCCTTCTTTTCGAATATTCACACTAAACAGTTTCATCCACTGAATGACTGAAAAGCAAAATCAAAGAACAAAATATAATCATGAGTATCACTTTAATAAGCTGGCCATCAGATTTTTTTCTTTTCAATATATCTCAAATAAATATCTCATGACAACATGATTATGATGTCTTTAAAAGGAAATATCATATAGCCTAATTTGTTAATATTCATTAATCAAAAGTCAATATGCTAAAAATATTAATAATATAACTCTCTCACACATTAAGTTTTTCTTTTTGGAGTGACTTTCAGACCAGGCCAACCACTGCAAGGTGTTTATTCTATTCTTGCTTTTATAGCAAACAAAAACTCTTTTGGGCATAAAACAAATCACTAGCATCATAAACACTTATGCATCAAAAGCGCCTCCTTAACCCATTGCTGCTGGGGATGGCATGTACGTACATGCCATGCCCACTGTGAGTCGACTTGTTCAATTGTTTTTACACATAGATGGCTACACTTGTACTAAGTATCCAATGAGCCAATTACGAGTACTGCCTGTCTCGCCCGTTCACCCTTTTCATCGATTTACGAAAATATTTAACGTTATCCTAATTTGTTGTTAAAAATAACACCCTCTATATCTATAGCACTAGTAAGAATACGCTTTTTCCCGCCAATTCAAGAAAGGTGAAATCAGGTCTACCAGAGCCATCTATGGACAGAGATATTTCACAAAAATATAAAAAATGAGTACTGCATTTCCCCCATTTTCTGTTCATTTTCCCCGGCGGCAATGGGTTAATATATATAAATATAAAATATATTGCCAAGTGAAAGTGAGTAGAAAAAATATGTTCACACAATCCTAGCTCAACTTCCGACACAAATACTATTTAGGAAAATAAATGGTTTATAGTCAAGGCAATACTGACTTTGTTCTTATACAGCTAAGGAACCACTTTATCTAGTTTAATTTTCACAAATATTTATGGATTTGTTGGTACAAACGTCATTTCTAATGAAATTTAGTTTCCTCATCACTTGATAAATTATATCTTCTACAGTGATTAACAAACATCAAAACATTGCACTTACCCAACCTGTTTATCTGGATAGTTTTCTGGCACCGTGATATTGTATTTCATTACATATTGACCCTCTTGTAACTTCACAACGACAGATGAGGTTTTCTGGCGTAATTTCAGCTCATCCGACCCTGCAATCAGCTTCTTCCTTACATTAGAAATTTCTTCTGAACAGCAGCAAAGTGGGTTTTCATCGATGAAATTGCGGACAAATCTCAACACATGCAAAACCTGTATTGGAAGAGAATTTGATACTGGAAAAAATGGATATAAGTTTTAATCCTGTAAATTAACTCTACACTTTATACTTGGTAAAGTGTCTTTCTGACGTTTGACTGTTAATTATCACGAGTGACAGGCCTATTTGATTTGCATCTATTTAGTGTTCTAAATAATATGTGCCATTTGACTGTAATAACTTGCCTACCAATCCACTATAATTAACCTGAAGCAAAAATCCTAACATGCCTTCACTAATGTAAACATCATTCTATCAACTGTGCTGATGATCCAGATAAGATATCCTCCCTTCCCATCAGTTTTGATGTAGATAAGTGGTTGAGCTGGTGAAGAAAGAAATTAAGTGTGAGTGGTTTAACATCAAGAGAAAGAGATATGAGACCGACAGACAGAGAAATAGAAACAGACAGATGGAGAGATTTCCATGTTAACCCATTGCCGCGGGGAAAAAAAAAAAAAAAAAAAATGGGGGAAATGTAGTACTCCTTTTTTATATTTTTATGAAATATCTCTGTCTATAGATAGCTCTGCAAGTCCTGATTTCATCTTCCCTTGAATTGGCAGGAAAAAACATATTTTTACTAGTGCTATAAATATAGATGGTGTTATTTTTAACAGCAAATTAGGATAACATTAAATTGATGAAAAGGGTGAACGGATGAGACAGGCAGTACTCGTAATTGGCTCATTGGATACTTAGTACAAGTGTAGCCATCTATGTGTAAAAACAATCGAACAAGTCGATTCACAGTGGGCATGGCATGTACATACATGCCATCCCCGGCGGCAATGGGTTAATATTCTTGGGTTTGTTGAGATATAATATTAATGACTTTTGACTGCATTTAACATACTTTTTGAATTCTAAAGGAATATAAAAAACACTTTCATCTATGTCATGAACCTACATATTAAGGTAATCTTAAATTTTTTTATCATGATCTTATTACATAATGCCTGATATCCTTTGTTCTGAAATAAATTCTCAACACTATTTGGAGAGTTGCTCATCTTATTACTAACTACACAATAAACAATTCATCCTGGAAAATGAGTAAAAAAAAAAAAGTATAGAATAGAGAGATAATTAAAACAATCATCATCATGAATACTTGGAAATCATTTTGTACCTGTGGCTTTCCTAGATATTTCTTTGCTTCTTCTTCACACAACTTTACAAGTCCATCCAAAAGTTTTTCAGAAACATGCCGGCTTTTCAATTCAATCAGTGCAAGGCTACTGGGGTAGTCAGGCTGGAACTGGAAACACGCAACAATTTGTTTGTACTTCGTCCTCCTGGAAGTGTATGTCACAGATTTGAGACAATTCTGATAGAGCAAGTTAGTAAACTATCTTAAATTTTACATAACTGAATGCAATTTTATAACTAACTCTAAAAGTAAAACTACAAAAGTAAAAATGATAATAAAAATGTTGGTAACTGTTTAAAAGCATTCCTGTGTCCACCACTGGTCCTGCACTTCTTGGCATGGCCTCCAAAACTGCTAGCACATATGAGCAGACCAAGAGACAGATTTTGACTTTCCTGATTATTTATCTTCAATTAAAGAACGAACCCAACTTACACCTTATCAGAATATAACGGTACAACTTTGCTGGTGGCAATCATTTGATACTACATCCATCACTGATCACTGCAAATGTCAAGTGGATTTGGATAAAACAAAACCAATATAATTCAGCTGAAAGTCCTGTTTGGATGGCCAGTACAGTATATTCTAAACATTCACCAAATGTTGAACAAAAAAAGAAACAAAAACCCAATCTAAAACTTATGCAAAATTACAAAATTATACACAAACTCTTTTGTTTGACTCAATTTTAACTTTCCCTTAACAATCACACTTGACTGCAAATGAGATCATAAGAAAACAAAAACAATCACTAACCAAATACTCACTCTATGTTTACCCGAACCATTGCCGGGACACAAGCTTCAACAGTGCTGTCTGCAATTACTCGTGGAACACATTGCTGAAGCTCCGCTAATTCCGTCTCTAAAATTCCCATGATTACAGGTTACTGTAAATGAAAAATATTGCTAATTAAAAAAAACATTGGAATGCACATATTGACTAATATTTTACTTACAAGTATTAAAGTTCTCCTGTATTAGCCTGGTTAAATATTTCCAATAGCCAGACCAAACCTCAATAACATTCTAGTGAATAATAAAGACAGTATTAAGAATACATTATCATTTTAACACTATAACAAAAACATTGTAACCAACACTGCAAGTACCACTATATATACTTTGGTTTCTAATTTTCATGCCAGGTTTTGGGAGAAATACATTTCAGTAAATCAATAAACTGTTCCTTTTTGTACAGAGATTGAAAATAATTGCTAAATATATGTTCCATTAGAAATATTTAAAAATATACAACAGATAAGTCTATTCCTCCCCATCACTAACATATTCAGCTGTAAGACTACTTTTCCACCAAAAATTAAATTCTGTCGCTCTTTAACTTTTGTTTCAAATAATTTCCTTTTCTTTCAGTATCCAATGGATGAGTTTTTCATTCCTTTGCTCTATTATTTCCATGTATGGTTTATCTTGGAAGTGACAGCTGGATGAAACTGGACCCATACCAATAATTCTTTAAAGACTGGCCTATTTAATGATAATAACTCAAGTTTGAAAACGACAAAGGACATAATTAGCAATGTAGGACTTAATAATGGGCATAAACTGACCTAAAATCCGAAACTTAAGTGTTCTGAATGTCAAAAAAATTAATCTCGTGTGCTCTTGCATTTGTAATGACTGTAACATGACGTTGACGTTACAGTCTAAAATAACGCCTCGCATTCTGATATCATCTTAATCCTACTTATCACATAATATCTTTGAAAATTACTCTTCAAAAAATTCTCTACCTACAGGAAAAAAAATATCACAAGAAACCTTAATAAATAAAAAGCAAACCCCTTAACCATTCACCTCGACATAAAAGCCAATAAACCTAATATCGCCTCCTACAAAACGTAAATCACATTCATAAGAAAAACACATATAAAACCCCCAAAATACTAAGTTATCTGAGGCTTAAGAATGAAATAAAGCCTAAAAAGTGAAAGAAATAAAGCCTAAAAAGTGAAAGGCTGCTATACCTCGCTGCAAGGAGGGTTTGTTGACAGTCGTGAACGTTCGTTTTTGAGTGGAAAAAAATCTGGGACACAAACTTTTTTTCTTTTTTTTATTACATTTTTGGGGGAAAATCAGAGGGAATTCTTAAATTAAATGTATTGTTTTTTTCCTCGTGGTCATTTTAAGTTAGCTTTGCAGAGAAAGCTTTTAAAGACTAACAATTGTATATTTCTTCTGTTTTGAATGTGAGCCAAATTTTAATGCTACAAATACGAATGTTAACAACAATAACAACAACACAGAAACAATAATGATAATGATAATGATGAAGATAATAATAAAAAAGCAAACCCCTTAACCATTCACCTCGACATAAAAGCCAATAAACCTAATATCGCCTCCTACAAAACGTAAATCACATTCATAAGAAAAACACATATAAAACCCCCAAAATACTAAGTTATTGAGGCTTAAGAATGAACTAAAGCCTAAAAAGTGAAAGAAATAAAGCCTAAAATGAAGGCTGCTATACCTCGCTGCAAGGAGGGTTTGTTGACAGTCGTGAACGTTCGTTTTTGAGTGGAAAAAAATCTGGGACACAAACTTTTTTTCTTTTCTTTATTACATTTTTGGGGGGAAAATCAGAGGGAATTCTTAAATTAAATGTATCGTTTTTTTCCTCGTGGTCATTTTAAGTTAGCTTTGCAGAGAAAGCTTTTAAAGGCTAACAATTGTATATTTCTTCTGTTTTGAATGTGAACCAAATTTTAATGCTACAAATACGAATGTTAACAACAACAACAATAACAACAACACAGAAACAATAATGATAATGATAATGATGAAGATAATAATAAAAAAACATGATAGTAACAACACCTTCAACACAACAACAACAATATTAATAATAAAAATAATGATAATGATAACAGTAATAATAGTGAAAATTAAGATAACAATAATAATGATAATAACAATAATAATAATGATGATAATAATAATGATAATGGTGATAATGATAATAATGATAATGATAATGATAATAATAATAATGACAATGGTGATATTGATAATGATAACAATTATAACAGCAATTAAAGAAATTATTACTATTATTATTATCATCATCATTATTATTATTATCATTATCATTATTATCATTATAATTATTATTATTTATTATTATTATTATTATCAGCATTTTTATTATCATCATAATTATTATCATCATTATCATTGTAATTATCATTATAATAATTATTATTATCCTTATTATATCAGTATCATTATTTTCATAAAAGTAATGATCATAATAATGATAATGATATTAATAATCATCATACTAATGACAATAAAAATAATGATAATAATAATAATGATGATGATGATAATAATAATGATGATGATGATGAGGATGATGATAATAAGGATAATGAAATAATGATAATTATAATAATAATAATAATAATAATAGTAATAATAATAATAATAATAATAATAATAATAGTAATAACATCAATAATGTTGATAATAATAATGATGATAACAGTAACGTTAATAATGATAACAATAATAATAACAATAACAATAATAACAATGATAATAGTAATAGTAATAAGACAATAATAATAATGATAATAGTAATGATGATGATGGCAATAATAACGATTATGATAGTGATAACAACAATATTGATAATAATGATGATGATAATAATAATGATTATGATGATAATAGTAATGATGATGATGATAATGATAGTGATGGTAATGATAATGATAATATTGATAATAATGATAATATATAATAATAAATAATAATAATAATAATAATAATAATAATAATAATAATAATAATAATGATAATGATAATGATAATATGATGATAATAAAATAATAGTAATAATAATAATAATATAATAATAATAATAATGATAATAATAATAATGATAATAACAATATTGATAATAATGATGATGATGATAATAATAATGATGATGATGATAATAATAATGATAATGATAAAGCTGATAATGATAACAATAATAATGATAATGATAATGATAATGATAATGATAATGATAATAATAATAATGATGATGATAATAATAATGATAATAATAATAATGATAATGATAATAATAATAATGATAATGATAATAATAATAATGATGATAATAATAATGATAATAATAATAATGATGATAATAATAATGATGATAATAATAATGATAATGATAATGATAATAATAATAATGATGATGATAATAATAATGATAATAATAATAATGATAATAACAATATTGATAATAATGATGATGATAATAATAATGCTGATGATGATAATAATAATGATAATGATAATAATAATAATGATAATGATAATGATAATGATAATAATAATGATAATAATAATAATATAATAATAATAATGATGATAATAATAATGATAATGATAATAATAATAATGATGATGATGATAATAATAATGATGATAATAATAATGATAATGATAACAATAATAATGATAATAGTAATGATGATGATGATAATAATAATGATTATGATGATAATAGTAATGATGATGATGATAATAATGATGATGATGATAATAATAATGATTATGATAATAACAATAATGATGATGACGATAATAATAATGATGATGATGATAATAATAATGATGATAATAATAATGATTATGATAATAATAGTAATGATGATGATGATAATAATAATGATGATGATAATAATAATGATAATGATAATGATAACAATTATAACAGCAATTAAAGAAATTATTACTATTATTATTATTATCATCATTATTATTATTATCATTATCATTATTATTATTATTATTATTATTATTATTATTATTATTATTATTATTATTATTATTATTATTATTATCACCATTATCAATATTATTATCATCATTATTATTATCATTGTGGATTATTGGCGAAACCAAACAATTCAGTCATGAAGGCTAATGCATGCGTGCTGTATTGGACACACACACATACAGTACGTACTGTACGAGTATGTATTAGCCTGCAGGACATTTCACCAATAATTCACAGTGATATTGATAATGATAACAATAATAATGATAATAGTAATGATGATGATGATAATAATAATGATGATAATAATAATGATGATAATAATAATGATGATGATAATAATAATGATGATAATAATAATGATTATGATAATAATAGTAATGATGATGATGATAATAATAATGATGATGATAATAATAATGATGATGATAATAATAATGATGATGATAATAATAATGATAATGATAATAAGGAAAATAATAGCGGTTACCATGATAATGATAACAATAATAATGATAATGATAATGATAATGATAATGATAATGATAATGATAATGATAATGATAATGATAATGATAATAATAATAATGATGATGATAATAATAATGATGATAATAATAATGATAATAATAATAATGATGATAATAATAATGATGATAATAATAATGATGATAATAATAATGATAATGATAATAAGGAAAATAATAGCGGTTACCATGATAATGATAACAATAATAATGATAATGATAATAATAATGATAATGATAATGATAATGATAATGATAATGATAATGATAACAATAATAATGATAATAATAATAATGATAATAACAATAATAATGATAATGATATCGATAATAATAATAATGATAATGATAATGACACTAACAATGATAAAAATGATGATGATAATAAAAAGGATGGTAGTATTAACAGTAAAAATGATTATAGTAAAGGCAGTAATAATAATAATAATAATAATAATAATAATAATAATAATAATAATGATAATAATAATAATAAGTCAATAATGATCATCATGACTGTCATCATAATTGTCATAATGCTAATAATAGCCATGACGAAACAACGGTGAAGATGATACAGGCGATGACAATTATGACAGCAATAGTGATAGAGAAAATTATGTTAGTAATTACGACGATGATGATGGTGATAACGTGCGTAATTGTTAACACTGCCAATAACAACAATGATATTAATGTAAAGGGTTGATTTCTATGCTCTTGTGGATTATGGTGTATCACTCATTACCATTATCGTTATCGCTATTATCACTATCATTAGTATTGTTATTATCATTGTTATCATTATTATCAGTATCATAACTTATTGGTATCATTATCATTGTGGATTACTGGTGAAACCAAACAATTCAGTCGTGCAGGTTAATGCAAATTAGTGTTTAGAAACAAATTTAATTATTGCATGTCATTACAGTCTAATTAAACAAATTTATTATCTCGCGGACTGACGAATATACATTATTTGATATTCATTTCTCAAATGCAACTTTCCTTTCGAATAGTCTTCAAATGAGGACAGTCATCGTTAGATATCAAGAACTGATTCATCTGCATATCTCACGTATTTTCAAGATAATTATTTCTTTTCTATCTATTTAAGTCTCCATCCCTTCACAACCAGCAGTCCACCTTCTGTGAACGCCCGCACTTTGTCACATCCGCCCACGTCTGCGCTGTACCGCCATACCTTCTCTAAGCTCTTCATGTCATTACTGCATTCTCTTCTGTCTGTGGTTTCTGCACTCTGTTCTTTCTCCTTCATGGTCCCAGTGTGACTTTTCTTGTCATTCTGTGTGATTTTTTGTTTTTCGAGGTTATTTTTTTCAATCTTTTTGGCGTCGCCTGAACGAACAATCAGCAAAGGAGCGGCGTCGAGAAGTGATGCCCAACCAGGTGTAATGTAGGGGCATGATCCCTGTCGACGTGCGAGGCAGCGACGAGGCCTCATCATCCACCTCCTGTCGTCCCAGTCGTCCATCATGGAATCCATTGCATCCATGGAGTCATGTCTGGCGAGGGACGAGTCCATAATATCCCTCTCGCTTCTTGCGCACTTATATCCATAGAAAACGTTTCCAGACGCCACGCGAAAGCATTAGAGAAAACGAGAATGTTCTCAACGATTTCAAAACACTCCTTCACATTCTATAGAATTCTAATGGCCATGC